AACTGACGGCCAATCTGTAGAACAAAACACGAATTATAACTGGTTGATAATTCAAGCTGGTGAGTACATTTTATTCTTGCGTGAAGTTCAGCGGATCATAAGGGCATTGAAGGTGAAAAACAAAGTTATCTAATATGATTATTACTTTTTTTTTTAAGGAGATACAGGATTAGCGTTAATGCAGAATAAATGCTATTCTTGCTATAATCAATAAAATATGTTTTATGTTCGTTCTCGAATTCATCTATGAAATTTCAACAGTAGTGAAAAAAAATATACGTTGTTATTTACAACATAGACATATCTATTCGTAGATTTTTGCCTAATTTGTAACTGAAGATCATTATTATGGATGTGATGAGGACGAAATGAGTGCTATTGAAATTATTATTAAATTAAAATTTTTTGTATATAAGGATTGTTTATCATTTCCACAGGAATGTTTGACTTTTTCGAAGAGCTTTTTTGCTTATTTTCATATTATTCAAGGATCATGGCAAATTTGTTAGATTTAATATAATATTTATTGTTCGAAAATGATTTCTATATGTTTAAAAGAGCATTTCAGTCCGGTACAACATAACATTCTATCAATTAATGTGTTTAATGATAATTTAAAGAAAATATTCTTACTATTATTAATGAGAAGTTTTAGTTGTAAGATAGGTTTCTACTTGGAATTGGTTAAAGAAAATAGCAAATCGAAAGAATATTCGTAGTAAACAATGACAAAAAACACTAAGGATAAATCAGAAAAAAATTATTATTTTCCACTGTCCGTTTTGCAGCATAGCTTTAATAATGATAGATATTATTTGCATTAATAAATAAAAACTATACTGAAATAATAAAAGCACTAAATATGGTACTATTCCTGTAACATAGAATTTCATAGTCTATACGACAATCTAATGTTTTACTTCTATTAGCAAGTATATCGATACGATGACATCTGGTAATAAAATTACTTATTGATGAATGAACGAAAAATAATTGGAGAAAAACTCAGCCGTGATGGTAGCAATAAGTGTTTGATAGTTTTCTTGATTAAATAAGTAATATTAAAGAGAACTATCATATTATCTAAAGAGATCGATTTATTAATCTATTAAAACAGTTAGTTAATTTTTTGAAAAATTTGCGCAGCTTTCTGATAATCAAGATATATGTGTCATTTTTAGTTTCATCCAAGATAAAATTATTAAAATATACATATTATTGCCTTTATTTTATTCTAAATGTACATATGACATTTATATTTTGTTTTTTAATCATTTAATTGAGGTTGAGGACGTATGGGTGTCGATGAAAAAGAATACCATGAGACTCACCGACCAGCTATACTCAGCTCACCCGCACCTGCACAAAAATCTTTAACAATGAAATTAAAATGTGTACTCAACATTGACGGATAAAAATGTTTCAGACTAAAATATATGAAAATAGAAATTTTGAAGCTATTGTATGTAAGACTAGAAGTAGGAGTAATTATGAATCTGAGTGTAGAACGACTGAACATGTTGTAGGAAACGTTCAGTCATATTCGCTTCTCCTTGTGATGCTCTTATAATACATTCCGTTAAAAGAATCGGCATGTTTTTAAGAGCATTTGTATTTGTTTATTCGTATCTGCTTGTGTTTCATGGAAAATAATTCTATACCGAACTTATCTCACTTCATGAGCGATGACACCGGTGTGTGAGATATACTTCTCTTACTTAATGGGTCTGAGCATTCTTGCACATCTACAAAGTCATGCCTGGTCATCATGAATAATATCAGTTTATTATCAGTATTTATGAATCAGTGAGTTAACATGATTTTTCTTGGTATTTCTGGGTTCTTTTTTTTTTTACTTAAAATTGAATATTGATACTATTTAATGATTCAAACGTTGCCATTGTATCGATTATGGTGAATAGAATATAACATTGTCTTTTCCTTGGTTTCTCAAAAGCATGCAACCTTATGAGAATATCTTATCAGCAGTTACTGGCCCATGTTAGTAGGAATAAATAAGCTTAATAAATATAAGAATATGCTCTGTGTTTTTTGTTTTCTCCATAAATACTTTTCTAACAGAAAAAAATCTTATCTGATGTTTTAACTTTGTTTTATGACCGATTTAATTCATCTACGGAACTTGCGAACGGAAGAATGCCAATGCTTTATCTCATGATTTTTACTGATTTTGCGTTTCCAAAGGAATTACTGCTGTGTTTTTTTAGGGAAAAGGATCAGTGACAAAGATTAAAAGAAAAAAAAATCAGAATTTTTTTTGCTATAGAAAAAGATTGTCATTTCATAAAAGTTTATGAATCTATGCTGCTAATGCATTTCCTGTTGTTTCTTATTGTGTGTGAGTTTACTAACAGCCATCATTTATTATATCATTCTCGAATTCATCAAACATCTTATCTCACATTCGATTGTTTATACGCTTATGTAGTTGAAAGTGGAAAAGAAGCTTATGGCGATTATATTATTAATTATCATCTAATTCCTTATTGCAGACGTCCAGCTAATGATGAGGAATTAGAAAAAATATCCCATCTTAACAAGAAAAATATTGCAGAAGTTATCACTTTCGATGAACTAAAGAAAAAGAATGTCACTGGTGAAGAATTGCTTGAATTGTTTGCACCTATCGATATTGCAGAAAACTATGAGATGGACAGCAATAGTTCAGATCTTTTTAATAAATGTGTTTCACCATGGTTCGGTGCTATGTGCCAATATAAATTTGCAGAAGATCTACCGTCTTCATTTAGTAGAATTGTGATGGACACTTTCAATCGCTACGCAACATTTGAAGGCTTTGTCACGATTCGTTCTTGCTATCAACTTTTAAACAATTGCCAAACAGAATATTGGTCTCGATGTCTTGATTGGCGTGAGATCTGTGATGGAAAAACTGATTGTATAAATGGAGAAGATGAACAATCGTGCAACCAATTAGATATAACTGAATGTACTGTTCATGAATATCGATGTCATTATGGTGGTCAATGTATTCCGTTGGCATTCTTCAAAGACAGTAAACTCAGTATGGATTGTCTAGATGGAAGTGATGAGGAAGACGACAGTGTACGGTATGGTACATTGATCAATCCACATTGTTTATACGTTTACACATTTCGTTGTGAGGAACGTACTGGGAGATATCCTTTGACATTTCCATGTGGTTACGGTTCCTATTTACAATCATTCGATTTGCCTAATCGGAAGAGTGTTTGTCCAAATCGACGGGATCTAGAATTTTCTATTTCTATACTTACGTCGTTCAATAATGTAAATGACATTAAATGTCAAGAAGCATTTTACTGTGCCATTTATCCAAGTATACCATCATCTAAAAGTAAGGATGCAAAAAAGCATGAAACATGAAAATATTCTTTTTCTTAGATGTTGATATGTACCTTAAGGTAGTATAAAGTTACAGTTTATGCAGTGTTACTCTAAAACTATTCCATGTGTGTTCTTTAAAAAGAAAGGTACGTTACTGAACCCTTTTAAGTTCCATAGGACGTAAAAAGCCTAAGACAATTTTTCTAATAGCGATATTGACGGAAATTTCGCTACAAAATAATTTTAAGGTTTGCGAGACGCTAAAAAATTCTGTATCGAGTCGATAACACTACCTAGCTTCGAGATGGATTCGTTATGGTTTAATGCGAAAATTTCACAAATAAGTTTTGTGGTTCTTGTAGAACTTAAAATGGCTCAGTAGTTTCGCGTTTTTCAAAGTAGAGACGTTGCTTAATCATATTTTCACTGGAACATTAACGATGTTCATTTCAGTATTTATCGAAAAAGTGAAGTTCAGTAAAACCGTAAGGCAGTGATTCTGTCAAAGAAAACATCGTTGGTCAATTCACTTAAAGTGTGGTCTGCGTGATTTACTTGTCAACATTGAAATGTTAATACAGATTTCATGTGCGCATTGATTATGGAACAAGAGCCATACTATACTAATGGCATTGCCATTGGAACTTTCCATGTTGCTTTGGTAGTTACTACTTTCTTCATGTTGAACAGGCTGAATCAATGATGTACTTATAGGTCTTCAGGATAGGGTTCAGCAAACTACTTTGATATTTTATTCTGATGAAAAGTCCTAGAAAAATTTTTTTTTTCTTCTGACAGTTTTTTCAAGGAGCCCGATTCTGATAGATTAGTTAAAAGTCTTTGATAATTGATTGGGAAACGAAATAAATTTGAAAACTAAACGATTTTGTCAATCACAGTTACCATTTACAAAGAAGCTTGTGATAACTAAAAGTAGTTCTTCTTGATTCCATTTCATTATGCAACGATCTCAATACTTGTGTACTCAGAAATTTTCCACAGATGCATGAATATATGTTCAAGATTTAGGAATTTTCTAGAAAAATTCTTGCTCGTTTTTTTTTCCTAAAACATATAGTGGTTTCGGTGTACTTTCGGAAGAAACCTGGCGAAAAAAAAAATTATATCATACAGGATGGTCCGAGAGTCACGCACCTGAGGAAAAAATCAAATATGTCTGTTACAATTCGAGCTAACGGGCTGATTTCTTCACCACTAATAAAGGCATGTTCACATTTCATATTCATAAAGATAAGGCTAGAGAGACCCTTTATTAAATATCACTATGGACTTCAACAAAAAAAAATTTACTTGGTCACAGTTAAGAAAAGAAAACAATATACTTAGTGAAAGATTCCTCTAGGCATGTCTTTATGTATAGAAAGCTTGAACGTACCTCTATCATTGGTAAAAAAGAACCAACTCGTTTGCTCAAGTCGTAATGGAGATATAAAAATTTCTTTTTCAGTAAAGTGACTTTTGCAGTACCCTGTATCTTGTTTTTTTCTCTGTTTGTGAAAAAGTATACTTTTTTGTTGAAGTCAATAGTGGTAATAATAGAGGGTCTCTCTAGTCTTATCTTTATGGATGTGAAGTGTGAATACGCCTTTATTAATGGTAAAGTAATAAGACCCTTTGCTCGAGTTGTCACAGAGATATTCAATTTTTTCCTCGGATGCGTGACTTTTAGGTCATCCTGTATGATTAGTTGATAACAGTCTATTTTCTATGATTCTATTTTGTTTTATGGTATGTCATTCTTATTTTATTTTATTCCTAAATTAAGCGCCAATCATCTCTGGAGATTATAGTCATATATTGTTTCCAATCACGCATCATATTTGGTCTGAACCTTGTGAACCAATATCTGAAAAATGCTTAATGGAATGGATAATTGTACCTGAAAGACCCGTTATGTTTGGATTTTTTCAACTTGTCTATTTCACTAATCGTTCGATTAACGATATGCACAACAGCAAAATACCTGATCTTATATGTTTTGATGCACAAAAATGTCCAGCATTGTTGGGCACAATCATCTCCATGAAAATTATTAATAATCTTACATGCTGTCATATTTCTAATCTCATAGAACATGTTAAATATCTTACTTTCGATCTACTATTGTCACGTTTATCGTCTGTAAGTAAGAAATGTTTCAAGATGGGTATAGAAAAATCATGTCTTAATTCGTCTTATTTTCACTGCAATCAATCGTTAAAATGTATTCCATACTATCGTGTTGCAGACGGAATGGTCGACTGCTATCATTCTGAAGACGAACAATTTAATGCGTGTCAATTAAATGATTCGATTCGATTTACCTGCCCATCAGATCCAAACAAATGTCTATCACTAGTTGCACTTGGCAATAAATTCTCAGATTGTCTTCTAGAAGAAGATGAAATCTATACATATAAAATTAACGTAGAAAAACTAGTGCCATTTTCAACTCTATGTGACAAACATGATGACTATAATTCACATTCCACAAATGTTTCAGAAACTGATGAAAGTAACTGTCAATGGTGGCCATGCAATAATCCGTATACTCGCTGTGATGGTGTCTGGCATTGTCTTGATGGAATGGACGAATTGAATTGTCCTGACAATAAATGCTCATTGGATGAATTTATGTGTTATTCAAGACCAAATATATTACAATATTGCTTACCTTACGTACAACTGTTTGACAGATATCTAAATCACTGCCACTCTTTTACACATCGCCAAATTCGTTTCTACAATGGAACTGAAGACATAAGTAACAATTACCTATCATGGAAAAATACGTCATGTGTCACTTCAATGAAGATTTGTCAAGCGCATAGTTTTTCTTCATCATTAACAATACAACCAGATGTATGCGCTATTGAACATCACGAAACGAAGTGGATTAATGAACTTGTGGTAAAGCCTGTGATGAAGAATATTATAAAGCCATGCTTTCTTCCAAAGCATACAATTAATAGCATGCCCAAACATCTATTTTTAACATCGAAACGATTTGGCTATTTTCCATCACCACCAAATAATCTTTCGCTTGAAGTTATTTCTGAAGAAAACCAAAAACGTACTATCATCCAAAAGATCGATGATATTTCAGCTCCCTATTGTAATCGTGGTATTGTTGTACTTAATACTTTTAATACAACACCAGTATGTCTTTGTGCACCTAGTTATTTTGGTTCTCGATGTCAATGGCAAAATCAACGTATTAGTTTGACTCTTCAATTTCTTTGGCGTTACATTGCATCAACTGATGTTTTGTTTCAAGTGATTATTATGCTTATTGACCAAAATGGATCTATCGCACCAAATTATGAACAAATTACCTATGTACCTTCACGCGATTGTAACACAAAATCCAATATCTATTTGCTTTATCCAGATAGACCGAAAAATTTATCACATAATTATTCAATTCGGATTGACATTTTCGAAAAAATTAACTTAATCTATTGGGTTAGTTGGTATCTACCAGTACCGTTCTCATTTTTACCTGTCAATCGAATCTCAAACAAAATAATTATATCTAATAAACAAGAAACAGTATCATGTTCGCTCTCATGTGGACAACACGGTCAATGTATGAACTACGCAAATAATAAATCATTAATATTTTGTCGATGCAATCAAGGATATTCTGGCGCACGATGTGAGATGTCACATAAATGTAATTGTTCAAACGATTCATTTTGTCTTTCGCCATTTATATGTGTATGCCCATTGCATAAATTTGGTTCTCATTGTTATATAAAACGGTCAATATGCAAATTATCAAATAATCCTTGTCGAAACAACGGAGTCTGTATACCAACTGATGATCGTATTAATTTAACAGGATTTACTTGCTTCTGTCGGCAAGGTTATTCAGGCCCAACATGCGAAAATACAAATAATCGAATTGATATCTATTTACCCGACGCAATAATAGAACAAAATAAGTTGGTATTGATACATTTTATTGCAGCATTTGAATATGCTGAACATGAACGTACAACTCTTTTTAAAAAGATCCCTTATAACCAGTATGATATAACAGTTGACATGCCGCAACCATTTAATATTCTTTTTGTTGAAATGTCAAATAAGAAATATTATTTAGGAATACTTCGAGAAAGATTTATAGTTTCTGAACACATCAAAACTACAATGCAACAAAATCAACATTGTTTATCGATTTCAATGCTTCTTAACAGTACCGTAGTGAATTCGGCATATCTCCATCGAACTAAATATTATCCAATAGTATGTCGGCAACATCGGAATTTGACGTGTTTTTATGATGCTGATCTTTTCTGTATATGTGATCTCGATCGATTTTCCAATTGTTTTTTCTTTAATCATACAATGAACTATGACTGTAAAGGTTATAACTATTGTGAAAATGGTGGCCGCTGCTTTCAAAATAATGAAACATGTCCAACAAAATTCATATGTGTGTGTGCCAAGATTGTTATTATGGAACAAAATGTCAATATTCAACAAAAGGCTTTCTTTTATCACTTGATTATATCCTTGGTTATCACATTAAACCACATATATCATTTAATCGACAACCATTAATTGTTAAATTAAGTACAGCTTTGATAACTGTCATGTTTAGTATTGGATTAATCAATGGAGTTTTATCAATAATAACATTTCGCATCAAGACAACACAAGATGTAGGCTGTGGATTCTATCTATTAGTTTCTTCATGCATTTCTATGATTATAGCAATTTTATTAGTCACAAAATTTTTGCAATTAGTGTTATCGCAAATGTCCATTATTACAAATCGATTACTGCTGAATTTAAATTGTTTATTATTAGACATGACTCTGCGAGTTTTTTTAGCTACTAATGATTGGCTAGATGCATGTGTTTTTGTGGAACGGATATTTACTATTATGAAAGGTGCAAAATTCAGTAAAACGAAAAGTAAACGAATAGCTAAATGGGTAGTATTGAGTGTCATTCTGTTAACCACTATCACGCATCTTCATATTCCTTTGCATCATCGTTTAGTTGACGATGTTGATGATGAAGAACAACGGACATGGTGCTTGGTTCAATACTCGACTTCAGTCAACATTTTAAGTTCATTTATTACTCTGACTCATTTTTTAATTCCATTTGCAATTAATTCATTGTCGATGTTGTTCATTAATATATACACAGCACGCTCCCGCTCAATATCACAGCCGAGATTTTCATTTCGAACACATCTAAAACTGCAATTCAAGCAAAATAAGCACCATCAAATTGCATCATCTATATTAGTATTATTAGCATTACCACGCTTTATTATCTCATTTGCTACAGGATGTATGAAATCACCACGAAGCTCATGGGGATATATTTTCAGTTATTTGATTCCGTTTTTACCGTCCATGATGACATTTCCGGTATATATTTTACCTTCAAAAACATATAAAGATGCATTTGTAGTTGCAACAAGAAGAAAACTGAATCAAGTACGCATGCGTATTAAAAACTAGTATTCTAATGGTAACATAACCTATTTCAACTATTGATTATATGCATACATAGAGAAGACATTTTCTTGAGCGAATTCTAACACACTTCTAATCAATGAAAAATAAAGCAACAGACTGATTTGTTTCAACATTAAAAGGTCTTTTTCTTTATAAATTGTGATCTATATGTAGTTCTGCTTTTGTCAAACTCTAGAGCTTCTATTGCGATGTGCTTGAAAAATGTACACAAAACTTCTAACTATACGTCAGTAAAATAGGATCTATTTTATATGACTACAAAATATTTTCGACTTCTTGGAAAAAAAACAATATCATATTAAATAGCTGCTGAAACTCTATGCAAAACATTGTATAGAAACAATTTTGCACTACAGATATTTATCAAGTCTAGTATAAACGTGATTGTGAATATGACTATAATACAAGTAGATCTAAAACGGCAGATCATACATATTCATATCTCCGCGTTTTTTTGCTTGCCAATCACAATACTTTAACTGTTTTTACTGAAAATTCTTCTAATATCGATAAAACGTTCGATATCTGAAAAACAGGTGCTGGTCGCAGGTAAATTTTATTTGCTTATTGTCAACACAAATGGCTTACGGTATTTGTTGCAAATGTAACGCATATCTCATTTTCATTAGTGTTAGTATTCAAGAAGTGCTGGTCTCGTTTATCTGCATGTTTTCTATCTTCCAATTGTCGTGTTTGCTGTGTGATAATAGATTGATGTTACTGTGAACTTGCTGTTTGATAAATGGTTCTCAGTAGTATAGTTTGATCATTATACAGGTTCTTAGAATGTAACCACTCTGTCGGACTATGATAACCTCACTTTGCTGGCGATCTTAAAATTATTTTCCTGGAAGGAAATTTGCAGTTTGTGTTTGGTAGCTTTGGGATCAAATACATTTATATATACTGTAAAAGAAAACGTAGAATAATCAACGTTTGCTCGCTTCTTTTTAATTATAAACCACTGAATAATTTATTCTTATTAGATCAAACCTTTGAAGAATTCTTTGATCAGAAGGTTTATAATCGCACAAGTTGATTAATGTGAGAAGCGTTAATGAAAATTTGCAAAAGATTTTTAATTCTTTTGCTGTAAGAGATGCAAAATGTATGTGAGATCAAAGCGAAGGCAAGCAGACAAAAATTAATGATGAAAAAGTTTATTTTTCTTAGCTGTCAAATTTTGCTGAATGAAGCCGTCATACCAATACAAGTCACGATTTTCATAAGGGCTCTGACAGGTTGATGAAACTGAACAGCTGCCTTTATGAACATGATGTTCATCTCTATTGTACACCAATTACAACCAGAAAGGATTCAAAAGTCCAATCTAGTTCACGTTTTTTGTGCGTATATATCGCAATTTTATTTTTTTATCAAATACTAGCAGAAGTACCCGGCGTTGCTCGGGTAAGTTAACACTTAATATACAGAACAAATACTCAATTGTGCTTGAGAAGGTCTGAACGCCCTAGTTAATGGGCAGTAGATATACACAACTATTACATTTGCCCTCGTGCCGATTTTGATCTAAATCCTCAGATATATTCTGAATCTCGATTCTATCTAATCCCACCCTCAAAGAATATAGAATAATAGCACTGAAAGATCGTTCTGAGGTGAGGAATTCTTCGTTCTCATATGTGTAGATCGATAAGACCTTGATAGATCATATAAATTTTGTTGACTTTCTATATTTCTAAATACCTATCGGAGTACACACTTCTCTGAATCAGTTCTGATCTCGATCGGCTCTTATCTCTCTTCGTGAGAGTTTCAGTCCCAATCCCGTAGTGGCTTGATTCGATAGTTAGAGAGAATCCATTTGGAAGATCAAATTTCTAACAGACATGCAAGGAAAGCTCGCTTCTATCAAAAAACAACACAAATACACATATTCTTGGTTTAGAACTTCACTTTTACAATATAAATTGCTATTAAATAGGCGAGTTACGATAGTATATCATGCTTTGCACTGCTGAAAACATAGTGAATTATGAATGGTGCAAGGAATGATAGACAAAAAAGTCTTCCCGTGAGAGATCTGTTAAGAACTTGATCATCAAAATCTTTGACAAACAAAATCTTGATCCTAGTAGACCGCTTATTCGAAACGCCCATCGCAGATGATCTTCACGGTATCAGTTTCTCTAAAACGTATGTGGATTTGGCATGACTCACCCAATTAAGGCACCGGTCGCCCAGTAAGGTATCATGCGCGACGGGTTTCCGATTTCTAATGTTCCTCTTGTGATCATTCAGTGACACTCATTTGCCCCAAAACTCGGTGTCTGTTGGTTCTGCACTGATCATTAAGCTATCGAAGTGATTGGATCACAGATTCGAATTTGCCACATCTAAAAAACCTTGCCTCATCATTTTCCTGATAGTATAAGTGTTTGTTTGTTTTTTTAGGAGCTGTTCTTCTATTGGTTTCCGAACAATCGATTAGACTTCGAGGCTAATGAGCCCCATATTCGAATTTGTCACGTCTAAAAACCTCTGCTTCATCATTTTCCTTAAAAAATAAGTGTTTTCGTCTATTTTTTAGGAGCTGATGTTCTATTGGTTTCCGCACAACCATTCAGACTTCGAGGCGAATGAACCTAGATTGGAATTTATCATGTCCAAAAACTCCAATGTTGTCACTTTCCCAACAGTATTTTATGCTTTTGTCTGTTATTTTAGGAACTGTGTTCCTAATGGTTTCGGGACAACCAATCAGATTTTTAGGCACATGGATTTAGATTCGAACTTATCACGTCCAAAAAACCCCTTCCCCATAATTTTCTGAAAGTATAAGCGTTTTCGTTTGTTTTCTTAAGAGCTGAGCTCCTATTGGTTTCGGGCCCAACCAATCAGGTTTTGAGGCAAATGGACCCCAGATTTGAATTCACCATCATCGACAACCTTTGGTTCCATGTTTCTGTGTGTTCACGAAGTGATATTCAATAGTACTTCTATAGTAGGGAATACTGCAATTTGATTGGTTAG